CTAAAAGTCAACTGTCCGTCACTTACAGTCAAGTGCGGATTGTTATTCTTAATTATTTGATCAATCGATAGCTCTCATAAAGCTTCACAAGACTATTTACAACATTCCTCTTTCATTATACCCAAGATTGGTAGCCTCCATTTTAGCTCTTACTGAAGAGGCATAAACAGCAGGGGGAAGATGGAGAGAAACAGTTGTACCATACAAAATTACAAGCACCTAAATAGCCAGGTTGTGCACACACTCATTTCAGTGGTGTAGCAATAAAAACGCTGCAGTTCTGGTTCCCTCATTTTTTGACTGTAAACATTTTTAATTCAGTTTTGCTTTCGTTGTGTAACTTCCATATTTGCATATCCTGGTATTTCTACTACACGCTTTATGAAACATGGGCAGAGTCTTTGCTTCTTGAAAGAGACCGATAATCAAGATAAACCATAAGGATTTTTAAAGGGTTTGTAACTGTCAGGCTTCTTGTGCCTGACCATATGCCACTTACTCGACCTGACATGCCCTCACAGCATGCACTGTGATCAGTCGTTGGTGTGAAATATTTATTTTTGCATATTTTATATATATATTCATAGAGTTTTTCATTTTAAAATGTGCTGTTCTTTTTCAAAATGCCATACGCTCAACAAACATCTGCCTGTCCCAGTGACTCCGTGCTGCCTTCGCTGCCCACTGCGACCCTTTTGACTGGACAGACCTTCTCCTGCGGAAGGGGACATCTAGCGCTGCCCTCTCTGCGATTTCAGGGGGACCTGCCCAGCAAAGCTGATCCTGCAAAAGGGCAGAAGTCTTGGACCCTGGCATGGAGAGGGGAGAAAGATGGTGTCTCATCTGGAAAGCCAGAGTCTCTTCTCCTCGGTGTGCAGGTATGGCTATTCTGACCCTGGGGCTCTGTTCTAGTTAGACTAAATGAGGACATTTATTATACATGAAAATTGTTTGCCGAGGGAATAGGAGAGGCCAAAAGCAGACATTATTAATCCACTAAACGTTACTGTACTGCAGCCAAGTTTGTAACAAACACAACAGCAGGGATCGTTGTTTGGTATAAATTGCCTTGTAATCATTTCCACAAGCCGAGACTTGGTCCCAGCACGCCTGACAAACTCGCAAGGGGCAAGAAATGCAATACAGCCTCTCGAAATACACGCCTACCACTCGCTCACCCACCAGGTCGTCTCCTACCCTCGCCATGGCCGCTGCCACTGCCATTCCAGAGCAAGGGCACAACTCTGTCTCCCTGTCACGGCTCCAGAAGATTCCCTGATGATTTTTCTGTAGACCCCTGTATCCCAACAGATGCTTCTGTAACACCGGTTAACTGTGGATCGTTAGGGTAGTGGTTTGCTGTGTTGGAAGAGTGCAATTTTACACAGACTTAATGCAAGAGGTCAAAGGATTAGACATTAGCCTCACTAGAAGAAAAGCTAAAAAAAAAATTAAATATTTGGAGGCATAAAAACTGAAACTGCGTGAAGTTTAATTCCAGCCGGGCAATTACAGTACTGGAAAACAGGCACAGGCATTGCAGCCTGAGCCCACTTCGGAGGGCAGCCTTTATGGCGGGATTGCTTCTGGTGTCTCCACAACGACTGAAAATATACCGAGCCCTCACGATGAGAGTGACAAGCCGTGCAGTGGGGAACTTCTCAAGGACACCGGGGGCTCCATGCCAGCTGTCTGCCAGCAAGTCAAGGGAAGCTTTGGGGGAAATTTCTCTGACGAGCTGGGACCCTTCCCTTCTCCAAGGCATGCTAACTTAGCCTGGCACTTGGACTTGTCACGGAGGTTCGCAAGGTGTATTTCTGAACCACAGCAAAGTCTGCTTCAAAGGGTGCTAGACTGCGCTTTTTAAAAGTACAGAAGTCCTGCAAAGCCCAGGAGGTTTTGATCGTTTCGCTGTCAGTGATGCCCATTCTTCCAGCTATCCTTGCGACACGCACGCTGCTCCCCTCTCAGCACGCTTTGTGTCGTTTTCTGCTCTCAAAACGGGAGGTTTCCTGTAAACACATCTAATGTACGCGCCTGTGTCAAACAGGGCTTCCTCGGCTTGCCTGCGGCGTGAGGGGAGAGGGTTATTTTTGCGAAGACATATGGGCCTCTCTCATCCCTCTCTCCTGTTTAAATATATACGCTCCTGGCAGTAAGGAAATGCTCAAGAACATCATTGTGAGAATTGTTTTAAGGTATCAAAGCATCCTTGGCGTTATTAGCATAGTCACATAATTATCCCCAGAGAAACTTACACCCATATGTTAACACCTATAAATTATACGTTTATTTTCAGTTTCTGGGAAAAATACATCACTGGTACTTAGTATAGTAATTATTTCCAAACGTGTAAGCTGCCCATGCCCTGGGTAAAATGTTCGGGAGACAGAGTAGCGCTGGCAGTGTCTTCTAAAAGCTCGGTGTAAGCCAAAGCCTAACTGTGCTCAGAATGTGATGCAAGAATATGATGCACTTCTTTAATTTCACAAGAGATTTCTTAAAGACAGGAATTTAAAAATGAGAATGGAGATGAATTGAAATTTATGTTGGGCAAAGTGTAGAAAAAACCCACCCTTGTAGCCGGGAATAAATTCTTCATAGTACAAGGCAGAGAGCCTGATCTGAAATTTCAAGCTAGGCTATCAATACCAGTGTTTTCTAGATACCCCGATACCCCGAGTAGCTTAGCCATATCCAACACTTTTCTATTTAGATTGGAGATACCAGATTAACGGCCTAATCTGCTGAATTTTCTCATAAACCTTAAGAAGCTGGCGTGAATGCAGTAAAAGAAACTGCATATGAACTCAGAAAGGAGTTGTAGGACTTTCAGATCTTGGCCTCAGACAGGAGCTAGCTCATAATACAATTTTTTAATGCAGGCCCATTGTATGCTTATCTTTCTGGTTTTTAACTGATTTATCCCAGTACTAAAAGTATGCTATTCTATGCATATTTGATACGTTCATTTTACTCAGACTGTTAAATACAAAGCATTAGGAGTGAAAAAATCTATTTTGCTTTTTATAAACAGCTGTGTTACATTTTTACCCAAGTGTTTTTAGTAAATCTTCTTGATTTTATTTTTTTCAGTTGAGTTTGTTTGACATTTCTACACAAGGTGTATATTCTGATTCTCCCGTAAGAGGGATAAAAGTAAGGAACATTCTTCCCCTCCTATGATCACTTTGCAGCTTGGGAACTGCAAACTGATATTCAAATATTCAAAGCTTTACCGGAGCACAGCGTAATATTTAATGTTGCCTGCTAAAGTGCTGGCGATTGCTACAAGTGGTTCACTGTAGTACACTTGTACTAACATTGCCTAATTTATTAATCATAGAAATTTGCATGCAAATTAGCCATACAGTTGTGCATCATAACACAGTAACCCAAAAATCTGTCTTCACATGTATTTATTCCTGCAAATAAGCATGTCACATTACACCAGTACACGGTTTCCCCATTACATTCCAAAACCTGCCAAAAGCTCACTAAAAAGCCATGTCATCAAGTGTTTTCTTTTTGTTCCTTACTTCTGTCTTTCTAAAGTGTGGGAGTATTTAGCTCCAAGGCTTTTTTCAGGTTTCCTTTTTGGGCTAAGATTCTGCCAGCCAAAAATCAGTATTTCTCTTGCTATAGTGCAGTTTTTTAAATGTATTTTTATACTGGTATGAGTATGCTCATCACCACTGTCCACCACTTCACGTTGGGGATTAAAAATGCCCTGAGCTCAGCACGCATTTCAGGAACGCTTCCCTGCTTTGAAAGCTGCTCCATTTCACATACTGACCTAGTAAATCCTAGGCATTGTGCAAAGGAAGTCTGCGTCTTTTCCTCTCTTGCTTTCTAACTACTCCAAATATTTCTTTCATGAAAGTCAAGGTGAGGATGAGGGAACTGATAATTTTGCATGGGACATTTTGCAAGGAAAGACCACGGAAGAAATGCTGCACAGCAAACAGGGACAATCAGTACGGTTGTGTTCGCAGCCACCCACCAACCTGCCCTCCTCTTTACTGCCGAAAGACGTGAGGAACCAGAGAAATGGGAGCAAGGAGAGCTTGCAGCAGAAATGGAGAAGAGGGAACAAGACAACTGAAGGTGAGCAAGAGAGAAAAGGCAAGGGAAGAGCAGAAGGAGCATTAGGATGGGCGACACCAGGGAGGTCAGAGACCTCAAGTTTGGTGACAGAGAACCATTAGGAGTTAACTGTGCAGAGATCCGGTTAACAGGATGTTTCATTTACTATGATAGTTACTCAACATTTACCCATTTTACAGATATAGCCTCCATAGGCTATGCCACAGAGAGATAAAAATGAAAGGCATAAACTGAAGTGACTTAGCCAAGTATTAAAAAAACCCCCAACAAACCAACATACAGAGAGAAAGTTGCTATCTGTCTGTTACCAAACCTACAAGAGATGGGGCAAGGCAAAGTCAAAAGCATTAAATATGTAAAAGTAGGAGGGAGAAATTCATAAGCTAAACAGTTTGAACCACACGCATTCGAACAACATGCTCAACCATTTTTTTTAAAAGGAGGAAGCTACTATTAAGGTTTAAAGGCGATACAAAAATACAATGAAAACAATAGATGCAAAACATTCACAAGAGTGACTGCGGACCATTTCATTACAGATCGTGACACTAAAGCTAGCTTCATTCATTCTTGTGGCATTGAGAGACCTGCAGGCAAAAACATTAATGCAAACACAAAAGAACATAATCAGAACATAAATAGTGATAAGCAAACTGATGCCATTAACACTTTGCTCTTGGGATTATTATTACAGATATATCTACAACATACAGCCTTTTATTCTCAGGTAAAAATCAAGCTTAGTTTAGAAACCTCCTCAGTTTTATATTTCCTTCGGTTTCATCTCTGATCCCACTTTGCTCTCCAGCACTAAACACACCACGAGGGGTCTCATACAGTTGTTTCTCACTGCACTGAGTCAAAATCAGCAAGCATTCCTAGATATTACTTACTGTCACTTGGCTCATGGTGGCCTGCTGTTTGTCACCTCCTCGTCTTGGATCCAACAGAGGAATAATGGCAGTATAGAAGCTGCAGCTCTATAAAAAGTGTAATCTTAATATCAGAGGAGGAGCTAGGCATAAGGGGTTGGCTTCACAAATGTAAATATTTCATAATTTATTTAGTAATGTGGCTTTGTATTTTTCCCCCAGGCAAAAGCTTTAATAAAGGAATAGGTCTACTGCAACAAAGGAAACGACAGCAAAAATAGAGACAAGGACACATCCTAACCCCATTAATATCAGTGGGAATTTGCCTTCATCTTCAGTGGGAACAGAACTTCAAAGACACGGGAATCACCCATAAAACCTGAAGGATAAAATCTGAATCTTTCGTGGTCTATGACAGAAACCGTGTTTAGAGGATGGTAGTGTAGCCCCGACACAGTGGAAATGTCCCCAGCAGGAGTTTCACACCCTTGGCTTGACCACAGCCTTGTCCCCGGCATTGCCAGGGTGGCCGATAGGACAGACGTCAGAGAGGCCACGCGCGTGGGCCATTTCTTTGACAGAAGAACCTCTCTGAAGCTGGGCTCCCATGCAGGAGCTGGGCAGAGATGAACCTTCTCTTGGTGAACACTGCCTCTCTTGCTGTTCATGGCTTTACTTTCAGTGCCCAAATCAGGAAGAAGTGGTATCCCCACCTTTAGAGGTATTTTTTTTATGTCTTAGTAATTTAAGACATTCTTTCAAAGCCTGTCTCTGGCAGAATGAAGACTGAAAGCTGTATCTCCTCAGTCCTACCTTGTGTTGTTAGCACTGAGGAAGATGAGCGGTGTGGATAGAAAGAATCTTTTCTTCTCCAGGGAGATTCAAGATCTCCCTCGAGGACTAAGAACACATCCTGGGTGCACTCTGCCTGCTAAATGCTGTGGAAAGCCAATGTGGGAAAGCCAAGATGAGGGAACTCATTCCCAAGCATCTCTGCCGGTCGTGTTTTGGTACTGGCGCCATACAGCAAAGCAGAAATCAAAAGAAGAGAGGTAGCATTCTTCTGCTAACAGCAGAATTAGTTTCCCTCTCCTTCCTTTGGATGGCTTCTTATGCTTCGTCCATTCCTGGGATTGCATAATAAAACACAGTATCAAGTCACTGTATGATACTGTGCGTAATGTACAACCCGCAGAGGTTGTTACACTCTTGATGGGTGAGTTCATCTGCCCCACAAACACACAGCTCCTCATAGTCCTATTTTAGCTCTTTAAGAAAAGTCCCCCTCTGTCCTTCGTCATTTGTCACCAAAATAAGTCTGACAACGTAGACCCTTTCAAATAAACCAAATTCCAGATAATGGTAGGTATTTCAGGAAAATGTTCAATGGGAGTGTGTACCCTAACTAAGGCCTCCTCGTTAATTTAGAATTATATTTCATATGGGATCTGCACCACCAGTCCATTGCAGGTCATATCAAGAAAAAAATGACAAACATTTTCAGGAAAGCCCTTTTAAAGAAATATGTTTACCATACGCTAACATGTCTGTGTACTATATGGCAATGATTTTCAATCCCTGGGTGTAGAGAGGTCTATGGACAACCTTTAAGAAAGCCACAAATATGACTAAAAAATATAAGTCCACGCATACTTTCCATACATTAAATGTCTTAAGGAAGCCTGTGCCTCTACTGGAAAACTATAGGGAAATTTCAAAACCTGTGCTTTTTGCAAGTCAGACCTATATTGTATGTCAAAATATGCAGTTGGAGTTTTGTGGTTTTACTGAGAGAGAGAGCATTGCTCAGGATCCTGCAGGAACAGAGAACTTACGGTTTCAATATTTTTCTCAGTAAAATGCAGTATTTCTTTAATGCTAAATTCCTTCGGTTTCTAGTGCCCTCATTTTTAGCAATCAGCACGTATACAATCGGTCTAAGAAATGAGGAATGAAGCACGTGGTTTGGCTGCTTTGAAAATCATATAATAATGCTCTTTGAGCTTGTGGGCTTAGCTCGGTAGTCCAACTCAAATGACTGTCCACTAGACAGATATAGTGCAATAAAGGTGAAACACAGTATTGCAGGTGAGACACTAATCTTTATTTCATGGTCCCTGTCTTCTCTGGGTATACGAGCGCAGCGCTTTGTGGGATCAAGTGACACTCTTAAACCCTATTGAGCACAACCAATTTGATTAGATTAGTTAAACCAACGTGGTAAAGGCAAAGTGAAACTGAGCAGCTTCACGGCCCTTACCACGTATACCATAAGCATGGTATCTTCCCTAAGCGAGGGAAATTTCAAGAGCTAACAGCATTTGTAGTAAGTCTAGTGTAATTTAAATGTAGTACTGTATGAAGCATGACAATAAGATCAACTGAGTTAAAAACCAGAAGAGCTAAACTCTGGACAACTTCATGAACGCACTGCACAAATTAATACGTATTTGTGCAAAGTATCCAGGAGAAGAGAAATGCGTTTCTGCTAAGAGGATGTAGGTGTGGCTACAACAATGTAGCAAAGAGATTAAAAAAAAAAAAAAATCCTGTTGAGGCTGTGTTCTTGTTATGTTTGAAGTAATAATTAGTCTGGCGTCAAGTTTGAATGATAACTATTACTTTCTTCACACAGATTTTCTAAGCTTGAGAGACCAGTTTTCAAAAGCTCTCTAGCAAAGCTATTATGTTACCAGTATTACTCCATCAGAAGAAACTGTTAAGGGATGATCAGAAATACTGAGGGTGAGTCCTGGTTTTCCAGTATCTTCTCGGGAATGGGATTCAAAAATGACAGTCAGCTTTGCTGACAGTAATCTCTCATAATTACAGCTGAAAATGATGCAATTGGCAAATTCTCAACAGCCTTAGAAATTGGACCTAATACATTCAAAGGCATAAGCCTTTAAAATATTTCACACAGACACTTTTTGCCAATATTCTCAATTAGAACTCATGTTTTTGTTCTTAAAGACCAAAAACCCGTGCTATTTCTTTCATCGCTGATGCAGTTTTGTATCTGTTACTGCTTTGAATTTTCTGTTTTGAATACTCCCAGGAGGAGGGTGTCACTGCAGATGCCCCAGACTCTGCCAAGCGATTGGCTTTCTACTCGGCTCAGCCATTTCCCTCCATTGCAGGTATTAGATGCCCCAGCTTACTTCACCGTAACTCCGATTTGTGGTTTTTCCTTCTTTAGGCTTATTAAAAAGCTAAAAAAGCCCAACCTCTTGGACTGAAAAGCAAGCACTTTTACCAGAACAGATATTTGGATTCCTTTTACTCCAAACTCCCATGCCAGCGTGTCCCAGACGGCTTAATACTGAAAAGGATTCCAGTAAGTCTTGTTTATGGATGTATGAACATACTATATATAAAGAGAAACTTACAACTGAAGAGCTCTAATACTGTAAAATAAAGCATTCAAAAGTGAGGAAATACAGAACTACATTTGCCTGTGCAACTTTGATTCGGCCTGTGTATGGCTGTCCTTTACAACTGGACCATCTATCGTTTCGTGTTCAAAATCTACAGCTTTCTCAGATAAAGGGTGGGGGTTTTGCTGGTTTTTAATCCTTTTTATTAAGTGTACAGTCTTCTGGTATTATTTACTGCTCATTAGCCAGCTCCGTCCCAGAACCTAATTCTGTCACGGGAGTTTTGGCTCCCTGAAGTATTATGGTTCTCATGTTTGGTCTAGGATATGTAGTAGCGGTACAAGTAAGATGTATGCCTATGGGTAGAGGGATAAAGAGTATTTACTACTAACAGACTCAAACTGTTCATTTCCTTCCTTCTGTGGGTTCCCTTCCGGTATACTATAGCAAGTTCTGCTCCTAAACAATTTTTCTGTGTTTAATATATTGTTAGTTACAAGATTATCCTTCATGCTAAGCCTTTACCTAGTAACAAAGCTTTTCTTAAAACCCCTTGAAATGCTTTTCACCATAAATACATAGTTTGGTTTCTGCCACGCAGTCCTCTGCTAGTACTATACATATGTAATGTCTTTTCCAAATCACAGTAGGTGGAAGCTTGGTTTGAGAATACCCAGGAACATCCAGTAGCACTGAAGTTTTAGGTAGCGACTGTTAAAAATTCTTGGAAATGTTAAGAAATATTTAAAGGCTAGATGGTTCAGGAAGCTAACAGGACATTAACTGGCACCAGAATGTGGGACGAGAAGAGTGAAGAGGGTTATCTGCTGCAGTTTGCTTTTTGAAATGAGAAAACCGGAAACAATTTCTGAATGCAAACATGGAGGGGACAGCACTTTTCAAAGAGTTTTGAACTGCAGAGAGTTGTGGAGTTCCTGCCTCTTCGTAAAGCAGGATAATACCTAGAAATACAACCAGTAGGTGAGGGTACCAGACTGACATCTCGCCTGAAACAACAAAATTACCTAATTTAATTTCTGCCAACAGGCATAATGGAATGAAAGATCTTGAGCCCAAAGGAAAGCAAATCATTGTGTCCCCAGAAAGATGGACTGCTTCCTCATGAGATGGTGTTAAGGACAGGCTGCTTTGCATGCATAGCCGGAGAGGTGCCCAGAGAAACAACAGCATGGCCAATGGTTCGTCCTTGTCAGGGTGGCAGTCTGTTCCCAGGACTACTAAGCAAAATACAGCTGAGCGAACAAGTGAGCACAAAATTTTAAATATCAGCTTCATCCTGCACAAAAGCCTGGAAAATTATACATTTAGTTGTAAAAAAACCTAGAATGACGTGCTAAAAATCCTCAACAGAGAGCTGCAAAGAGACTACAATCATCTGAGCAGTATTTTCTAGTTAAGTTTTAAAGAAGTACAACAGAACTTGGTCTTGATAAATAACCTGTGTGCAGGATCTAGAGCAGTTTGTGGGGATCTCCGGCAACGCCATCACTCCATCTCTCAATGATTCTGTGGTTGGCGTCGTGTCAACAATATCAACACTGCAGGTTGTGTAACAAGATAACGATGCAACCCTTAGGGATGAAGGTGGAGGTGCTGGTAGGATGACAAAGTCCCACCACCCACATACAGTAAGAAATAATTGAGATTAGGTGAGGCTGCAGTCAAACATGAAACATTAAAAATACTGTTTATTAACAATCACAGAACCACTTAAACTGAATTTATATAAACTATTTAATTAACAGATTAGAAAGCCTGAAGTGACCTGTGTGATCTTCTAGTCTGACTTTCTGTATAATGGACAGCAGATTTCCCTGAACTAGTTCCTGTCTGAACTAGATTGTATCATTTTAAGGGGGAAACATCATATCTTGGTACAAATATCAACAGAAAAGTTACCATAATTCTTGGTAACCCTCTCAATGGTTAATTTAAATTACGATTGAAGGTCTTGGATCTTTGTCTGCTAGAGCTCAGCCATGTATTTTTAAATGGATATTTACTGCATAGAAAGGTACGTAAAGGGCCCCTATTAACTTTCTCTTTGATAAGCTAAATAGGTGGAAGTCCTTGAGCCCCACGTTAGAAGGACAGTATCCTCATCCTTTAATCATGTCTCATGTCCATTCTATGAAATCTCTCTAATTTTTCACTACTCTTCTTGAACTTAGGACACAAACCCCATGTGCAACATTCCAATTTGCCTTGCATCAGTGCCAGATACAGAGGAAGCATAAACCTCTCTGTTCTTTCTCAGTATTTACTTGCGTGGGCGATCAAGAGTTAGACTCCCTATTCTAGTCGCCCTGTCAGAGAAGTAGCGATTGTGGTCTATTAGTCTCCAACTCCTTTTCAGTGACTCTGCTTCCCAGGAGAGGACTCCCTGTGAGATTTGCTGGGCCCTTGCTCTTCTTTCTAGAATACATGTTCTGCTTATTTATCTGTGTAGGGCAAGAACGCTTTCACGCTGATTTTGTAGAAGAATAAGGCGCAAAGGGACTTATCAGAGGTTACCATGAAGTACCTGTGAAGAAGGAAACTGAGGACAGGACAGGTCTCCTGAATCCCATGCTGGCACTAGTACTGCACATTTACATTTGACGCTGAATTGCAGAGGCCATGACCAGCTGCATTGTCAGCTGATGGATACAATC